ACAAAGACTTTGTTTCCTTTTTTTCCTTTTCTCATGTTAATTCCATTCAATTCTTTCCTTTCCCCTACCCCTCCACTCCCCTTCCCCTTTGGAACTTTTCTTCCTATTTCACATTATCTATTATTTCTTTAGATCCTTATTTACACTTTCAGTTTCTCACACCAGAGAATCTATTCAGTATTTACATGTGTGTCCTATTTATTTCAGTTAAGAGTATCACCTCAATGTGCATCCATTTAGCTATAAATGTCTCTAGTTTCTCATTCTTTATGGCTGAGTATTATTCCATTTTATAAAAAACCCCATATCTTCTTTATCCAGTCTCCAGTTGATGTGCACTTGGGCTGGTTCCAAGATTTACCTATTACATACTGTGCCACTTTAAACATGGGTGCACATATATTGCTGTGGTATGATGCTTTGAATTCTTTTGGGAAGATTCCCAGTAGGGAAATAGCTGGGTCAAATGGGACCTCTAATCCTAGTATTTTGAGGTATCTCCATCCTGATTCCACAGTGGTTGCACCAGTCTGCCCTCCCACCAGCAGTGGACAAGGGTTCTTTTTTCCCCACAGACCTCCAGCATTTGTTATTGGTTGATTTCATGATGGCAGGCATTCTTTCTGGGGTGAGGTAGACTTTCAGTGTTGTTTTCATTTGCATCTATCAAAAAAAAATTCTGAGTCTTTTGGTAGATTTTTTGGATCTTCTAAGTAGAGGATCATGTCATCTTCAGATAATGATGATTTGATTTCTTCTTTTCATATATATATATATAATATATATATATGTCTTTTATTTCTTTTTTTCTTGCCTAATTGCTCTGACTAATGTTTTAAGTACTATGTTGAACAGGAGTGGTAATAGTGGACATCCTTGTCTTGTTCCTGATTTAGAGAGAAACCTTTCCGTTTTTCCCTACTTAATTCTATGTTGGTTGTAGGTTTGTCACAAATGGCTTTTATCAGATTGAGGTAAAGTCCTTCTTACTTTCCTTTGTGTTTTTTATCATGAATGACTGTTGAATTTTGTCAAAGGTTTTTCTGTGTCTATCGAGACGTGCCTGCTTTTATGTGATGTATTGCAATTTATTTGTTTCCATATGTTAAACCATCCTTGCATCACTAAGATGAAACCTACTTGATCATGATGTACGATCTTTTTTTTGGTTTTTTTTTTGGTACCAGGGATCGAACTTTGATCCTTGAACTTGCGAGGCAGGTGGCAGAACCACTAAATCCCTGGCCTGATGTATGATCTTTTAATGATGTGCTGCATCCTATTTGCCAGTATCTTGTTGCTGATTTTTACATCTGTATTCACTAAAGAGATTCATCTGTAGTTCCTTTTTTTGTTGTTGTTGGATTTTTGTCTGGTTTTGGAATCAGGGTAATTGTAGCTTCCAGGAAAGACTGGAAATACTCCATCCCTTTTAATTTCATCAAAGAGCTTGAGGAGTATTAGTGTTAAGTCGTCCCTGAAGTTTTTGTAGAGTTCAGCAGTGAATCCATCCAGACATGGGCTTTTTTTAGTTGATAGATTTTTTTATTACTACTTTAATTTCATTGTCTGATAATTGGATTATTCAGGGTTTTAAAATCTTCTTGGTAATTCATAGGTCTAATGAATATATAATTCAGTTTTGGTAATTCATATGTATCTAGGAATCTATCAATTTCTTCTGAATTCTGAAATATATTGGCTTACAAGTTTGTGAAGTATTTGTTAATAATGTTTTTTATTTCAGCAGTGGCTCCTGTGATTTCACCTTTTTCATTCCTAATTGTATTGATTTGGGCTTTTCCTTTGCTTTTTTTGGTAGATTGGCTAAGGGTTTGTCTATTTCATTTTTTAAAAAAACCACCTGTTCAATTCATTGATTCTTCGTATTGTTTTGGTCTCAATTTTATTTTCTGCTTTGATCCTCATAATTTCTTTCCTCATACTAGCATTGAATTTGGATTGTTCTTGTTTTTCTAGGACCCTGAGCTGCACTGTTAGGTTACTTGGGCTCTCTTTGTTTTTGTGATGTGGGCATTCACAGCTATTAAGTTTCCTCTTAGGTCTGCTTTTATTCTATCCCATAACTTCCAGCACATTGTACTGGCATTGTTGTATAGTTCTAGAAACTGTCTTATTTCTTTTTTTAAAAATTAATTTTATGGTACATTTTAGGTGTACAATATAATGACATTTATCATTGCAAATTTTACCTTTACATAATTTATCTTGGTTTTTATTTTTCCCCCATTCCCCTGCCCTCCCTTCAATCCCTGCATCTGTCTTTTGATTTCTTTTGTAAGTCATTGTTTATTTAAGAGTGTATTGTCTAATTTTCTTGCATTTGTATAATGTCTGTGTTTTGTAATTGATGTTTAGTCTCATTGCACTATGATCTGATAATATGTGTGACATGATTTCAATTCTTTTATATTTACTTAAGATTGATTTATTGGCTAATATGTGGGGTTTTTTTTCTTTTGAGAAAGTTCCATGTGCTGCTGAAAAGAATGTGTATGCTATTGTTTTGTTTTTTTTTGGTACCGGGGATCGAACTCGAGTCCTTGTGCTTGTGAGGGAGGCAGCAGAACCATTGAGCTAAATCCCCAGCCCCTCTATGGTATTGTTTTGGATGGAACACTCTGTACATATCTATTAAGTCCATTTGTTCAAAAATTTTGTTCAACTCTGATATTTCTTTGTTAATTTTCTGTCTAGTTGATCTGTCTACTTGTGATAGTGGGATATTGAGGTCCCCCATTCTATTTGTGTTCATGTTTATCTGGTGTTTTATGTCCAATAGAACTTGTTTTATGAAGTTGGGGGAACCCTTATTTGGTGCACATAAGTTAGTAATTGTTGGTGCTTCCTGTTGGATTGTTCCCTTAACCAACAGGTCATCACCATCTTTGCCTCTCTTGATTAGTTTTGGCGTGAAGTCTACTTTGTCTGCATATAGGATAGCTACACTTTCTTTTATTGGGGTCTCATTTGTGTTAGGTACTTTTTCATTGCTGGAACAAAATATCCAACACCCACAAGTTAAAGGAGGAAAGTTTTATTTTAGCTCATAGCTTGTAGAGGTTTCAGTCCATAGTGGGCTTGGTCTAAGGACAGCATGGCATAGGAGAAATGGTTCCTGGTGTGCAGGCAGGAGGCAGCTAGTAGTAAGCCTTCTTTTCCCTTTTTATTTCATTCAGGCTACTAGCCTATTGGATGGTGCCACCAACACCTAAGGGTGAGTCTTCCCATTATCCACACCCAGAACTATGCTAAACCAATTAGTGGACTAATCCAATTATTACACACCCATAATCCAGTATCACTCATGATCTAGCCACTCCCAAAAGCCCACCCAGGATAGTGCATGAGGCTTTGGGAGGTATTTTAGACATGAGCCATAACACCTTTAGGTAGAGTGTTGTTTTCCATCCTTTGACTTTTAGTCTGATTTCTTTTGGGGTTAAATGTGTTTCTTGTGTACAGAATGCCATTGGAGTTCCTTTTTCTTTTTCTTTTTTTTTTTTTTGACAGAGTCTCACCATGTAGTTCAGGCTATACTTAAACTCACTATGTCTAGTGAGTTTAGTCTGGCTGGCTTCAAACTCTTGGCAATCCTCCTGCCTCAACCTCCTGAGTGCTGGGATCATAGGCATGTCCTGCAATGCCTGGCTGGAGTTTATTTCTTGATCTGTTCTGCCAATCCGTGTTTTTGATTGGGAGAATTGAGACCATTTGCATTGAGAGTTATTATGAATAGTTATCTATTCTTGTCATTGCCTTATTTTCCTGTTGCTGATTCCCTATCTTTCCCTTCTACTTAACTGGTCATTCTGCCTAGTATATTTATTCTGTTAGACTTTTTTGTCACTGTTGGCTTCATTGTTGTTTTCCAGGGTATCTTTCAGAACTTTTTGGAGTACTGATTTGGAGGTCATGAATTTGTTTAGGTGTTCTTTGTCACGAAAATATCTTATTTCTCCAAGCATTCTGAAAGATAGTTTTGCAGGATATATCAGCCTGAGATATAAATTGACTTCCTGAAACACTTTGAGTTCTCCTCATCTTTAAGGTTTGTGTTGAGAAGTATGCTATAATTCCAATGGGCTTACCTTTATAAGTTATTTCTTGCTTTTCTATAATAATTAAGAAAGAGTATTCTATTTTGTATCACCAATCTAGGAAAACATCAGAATTCTATGTATAGTTTCTACTGCATGAATATTCATTTCGCATTATTGTAAAGTCAAGTTTGAGGACTATTGGAAATTCTCAGTACCTATAAAAAATTACTACCTTGATTATAACACTGCATGAGTGGCCAGGAATTATGTTTTCCATTAGGCAATTCTATTTAAACTCCATGACCTTTGTGGTCTTTATGGAGCTGAGAAAAATTCTGTAAATTGAAATTTTTATTCTTTAAGAATGAACCAGGGTTCAATAAATACTGTGCTTTATAAAAATAGAACCAGCTCTTGGAAATCTCTAATTTGAATGCTATGTTAATTTAACAAGATAGACCACATATTATGACTTTCTAAAGTTTTATCCAGTTTCCTGAGTTTGGTGCAATTAAAAGTGTTTTTTCACAGTTTTTCAAGTGAGTTAGAAAGTTACTTCCGGGTAAGTAATGCCTCGGAATTTAGTATTAAATCTTTTCTTTATTATCCTTATTCATGGTATACAAAAATGCAATATCAATGTTAAAATTAACAGAAGAGCTATAGGCCCAGAGAATTTCAGACTGCTGAATCTAGGAACATAATGAGTGTTGAAGAGTAAAATTTAGTCATAACAAGAGGCTGAGCACAGATAACTGCAAACACAGAACCTGAGAACTGGTAACAAAGGCGGGGATGTCAGAGGATATATTTGATTTCAATTCATCCTTCTAAGGGAAAAAGTTGGAGTGTGGGGACTTTACTAATGAATATCAACTGAATATCTATTTCTCAGTTTGTTCCCTGGGTTTTGTTTGATTCACAAACAAAAACATGTTTACTTCAAATGTGTTCATTTTTCATTTTAGTCATAACAAAATGTTTCTCATAAGATGGAATTTGGTTGCTAACTTCTAATCAATAACATACAAGAACAGATCTCCAGACCATTTTGTTAATGGATATTTTGAGTCACATATCATTCTGATCCACTTAACATTAATATTTTAATATCACAAATGAGCAACATTTTTCAGTATCTTCTTTTAATTTTGGGGGGGCCACATTTTATTCATAGTATGGTCTAGAGTTGAATCATTGATGTGGATTAAGCCTGCTGAAACCATTCGAGGACTTGGAAATTTTCTAGTGTAGCTTTCTTGTTGTTTGTTAGGGTCTGGAGCAGTATAAGGTCTTGCAACATGTTTTCCCTGATTATGGCTATCATCTGGGTTCTTTCCTACAAGTCTTGCTCTTGATTTTGTTTTTGTAGGATGCTTAACTGGGTTCACATATAAATCCTCATATTTATCCAAACAATCCTAAATGGTAAAATAAAACATTAAATTGGTAAATTAGGTTTTTAAAAATACATTTTAAATTGATAAGGACTAAAGTTTGTAATAGCAACAGTTAGAGAGAGAGAGTAAAGGTACTGTGCATTTCTTAGACAGTTCTCAAGTTCAGGCCCTATACCCCATGCTTCCTGTTAGGTAACTACCTTAGAAATCATGCTTTAAAAAATATTGTTGTTTCAAAGTATCTATTATTTCAAAACAGATGGAAAATGTGAAGCTGGAAACCAGAAAAACTTAAAAGAATTGTTCTCAGGGGTCAGACTCCTAGGCAAAGCTGGCTAGCCTACTTTGCAATTTTTGTCTACAAAAATGTCTCTACCCTGACTCCAAATATAAATTATGAACTTTTAATATCTTAATTCTTGTATCACCCAAACTTTGATGTTTCAGTCTTTAAAAGTTAATTTAATAAATACTTGTGTCAGTATATATGCATAAATATGGAGAGAGAGAAAGAGAGAAAGAAAACCACATCCAAGAATATGGTTGTAGTTTACTTTAAAAATTTTATGTACATTCCAAGAATAAAAACAAGTACAACATTCAGGAAAATAATTGGAAAGATATATATCAAAATAATAAGAGAAAAGGTGGCAATTCTCTTTTTTTCAAATTTTTAATAATATGGTTGGATTTTACAATAAAAATATAATAATCTGTGTATACCCCTAAAACAGTATTAACCATCCTCCTACTAGTGCAGTTTTCTCAGCAGTTTATGTCTTTATACCTTGAAGACGTAGCCACAGCAAGGGAAAGGGCTGCTTTGATTGGAGACGAGGTGAGAGTGAACTAACAGAAGGCCAGGTAAGGAAGGCTGAGCAAAACTGATCAAAAAGAGATTTCCAAAAAAGAAGATAGGAAAAGTCTAAAGACCAGTCCCCTACTTCATACTTCTGCCTGAGTTTGGAGAAGACAGGGAGACAGTCTGCTCCTGATGCCCATAGGACCCTAAGGTAAGCCGCATTACTGCAGTTTCTGCTGTGAAGGCAAGTGCGCTGACTTCCTTCCCACAGCCTGTGACCGGCTGCCCTTGTGCCAGTGGCAGGGCTCGGAGACGCGTGCCGCTGGCTGGCTCCTCTTCTGGGAGTGCCTACAACTCCTCAGCCTCTCTCTCCTCTTCTTTCTTCCTTCTCTTCCCTTTTCTCCTTTCTTTCTCTTCCCCTTTCTTCCTCTCTCCTTTCCCCTCTCCTGTCTCTGTCTCTCCGCCCCCCCCCCCTTCCTATTCTGATTCCTTTGGGAGACCACTAGATTTTAGGAATGTCTTTCTGTTTCTCTGACAGACACCCTCTTAGCATTCAATTCTCTGTATTTAACTAGACAGGAAAGTTTAGGGACAGTTGGCCTGACAGAGGGAGACGATAGCGTTTCTACTTCCCTTGCACAGTCTTAGGGAAAGCTTGTGAGGTTATGTATGATTTTACCCTACTTAACATAAACACTATTTCTTACTTCATTTGAAGAGGGAATATTAGAGATTTGTTTAAAGGAACTTCAGAAAGTCTTTTTTCTCTAAAAAATATGAATCTATCTCTTCCTTTTTCTCGTATGCTCAAACACATGCTAGTTAAATACTAAATTACTGAATTTAGATAGAAAAGAAAAATTAAGAATATAAACTGTACTGATATTTAACCTAGACTATATAGCTAACAGAATATTTAACTGTACAACTATTCTATATAATTCATAGCTATATAATATTTGCCCTGCCACTATAAATAACTCCTTTTACTATGGAAAACCAATCTAAATAAACTATTCTGAAATTAGACTTATTTTCTCATTTAAAGGCAGAATTATACACATAAAATTATCAATTTAATATACATTTTCATAAGTATGAGTCATGTCTGTTATACATACTAACAAAGAAGAGCAGGGATGGGGATTTAGCTCAGTGGTTCTGCTGCCTGCCTCGCAAGTGCAAGGACCTGAGTTTGATCCCCTGGTACCAAAAAAAAAAAAAAAGAGCAGTGGTCTGGAAAACTAAAATAAACTCTTTTTATTCCTAGATTTTAACTTTGCTTTAGAATAGTTTATATGAAATCTAGTAGAAGATTTGCCATTCTATTTTTATGTTAATATTCAGAAAAGATTTTATTTCACAAAATCTCCATGTATGATATAGCAGAAGGAAGAAAAGAGTAGACATTAAATTAACCAATTTTAATTCATAATCCAATGATTATTAATTCTGCATATCCCTAATTATCAGCAGAATAGCTGGCACATAGTAGAAACTTAATATTTATTTACTCAAATAAATAATTCACCTCTCTGAAAAAAGTCTTGTATGTCTGGGGAAGGAAAAATCTCAGTTGTCTGACAGTACCTGGCCTGCTAATGGTTGGACAGGATGTGTCACCCTACAGCCCCTGGATAGCTTGAGTCGAGGCTGAGGTCCAGCCCCATGTCCAGAGTGTGCCTTGGGTCTGAGCTGAGTCAGCCTGGAGGCTCTGCCCAGGGGAAAGGGCACTTCTGAAAAATTTGTGTCCCAAGGAGTGTACATTTTATTCCATACAAAGACACTAGGAACATTAACAGTTCCATGGTTTCCTGATTATATTTTGAATCAAGTGTGGTGATACTTGAATTTTAGAAAAATATTTAAACTTAGAGGACTATATATTTTGGGGCAATTAAAATTACACATCTACTTGCATACAGGCATAATATACTAAGGCAAATTATTTACAGAACTTAGCCAAGTATGGAAATGGAAAACAGAAAAACCATTCTTACGTGTATGGTTGTTCTTGGAGTCCAATGAAGCCAAGTCTTTGGAATGGATTTCCTTAGACAGATGGCTGTGGTGGGAAGAGCAGGTGGTAACAGCCTTCCTGTGCAGTTAGACAACTTTTTTGATTTACCAGCACATTTTCTTTCCTTTTGAACCTTGAGTTTTGTATTTTCTCTCTTCAATACTTCTGGGAAGAAGAATGGTTGAGAATTTTTCTCATCTTCATTATATTTAAATGATTGTGATTCAGGAAACTGGACACAATTTTCATTGCAAAGTTCATTTTGGTTCATACACAGAGTTCGTATGTCTGTTTGGTGTTGCCCAAATGATACTAGGTGTTTTTTGTTGTTGTTATTATTTTCTTTCAATCTCTGAAAACACTGGTCAAATGTTGCTTGTTCCTTGGTCTTAAAATTGAAATGAGTTAAAGTGTTAGCCTGGCATAAAGGGAAAGTAGAGCTATTTAAATAACCTTCATTGTCCCTAGGCATACAGCAATAAGGAATTCTTGGAAATGGTGACGATATTGCTTCAGGGTTTTTTTGAAGAGTCAGTTTATAAGTGTTGACATATTCCTTTTTTTCAACAGGATTCACTTTCAGTGTTGTTTCAAAGCAAACTTTTGAAAAAATTGTTTTTAATTTACCATGCCTACTGTATGGGTCTCGAGTCTCCGGTTTATACACAGAGACTTCTGCTTGAGAAGGTTGCATGAAAACATATTCTTCCTTGTGTTTCTTAAGCAATGTACCTGTCAGTCTTTCTGATGACTTATTTAATGGAATTGCCTGGATAGTGCTGGAATAAGGTTGTATTTTTATTAAACTTAGTGTTTTAGCTCCTTCTCTGGAGTAATTGTTTTTCTGTAGCTGTATTGTTGATGCATTTTCTTTTGAGTTGTGTAAGGAAGAATACTCCTTTTCTTCCTTCCTGATAAATTCTGTTTCTATATGTTTATCCTCAGTAATATTTTGTAAAGTGGTGCTTTGACCAGTTTTTGAACATTTTTTTTTGCTTTTTCGAATGCTCCTCCATAAAGAGATTTTCACCTCTAAATGGTAAATCTGTTTTTATATATTTTGATGGGCTGGAACTGGAATTAAGCAAATATATATGTTGGTTGATCTCTTTTAGTTGCTTCTCTGTAATTAGTCCTGATTTTAAAAGTTTTTCTATAAAAATGCTCTGGAGCTGTTTACTTAAATCCACTTTTAGATTTAATAATTCAGTTTCTGATAAAGCTACAAGATAATTTTGCAGAGATTTGTCTAAAGGATATTTCATGTTTACTTCAAGCCTTCTACCAAAATTATCCCTTGAAATACCTTGTCCTAATTCATAAAAATATTTGGAGGTACTTTTAGTTCTCATGGAAGACATATTTGAGCACATTGTTAGTGTAGGTTCTGTCTCATTAAATAAACTGCTATCTGAAAGATTTTTAAGGAAATAGTTTTGGAGAATTTCATTTACAAAAGATCTTAGTTTTATTTCTAAATGTTTATCTATGAAATGATGATTAAAATTATTTATAAAGATCATAACTTCTTTTATAGTTTCTGAATATTTGTCCTGAATAATATTTTGCCCTTTCAGTTTTGCTTTCTCATTCATCAAATAGAGATTTTGGTAGATTTCTGGTAAATCCTCCTTGGTGATATATCCTGCTTCTGAAAGTCTTTCTACCAGGTAATGTTGGATATGTTTACTTAATTCAAATTTTAAAACTTTTATTTCTGATTCGGAGAGTTCTTCTAGGAACACATGCAGCGTTGGACTAAAAATAGGTTTTTTGTCTGCTTTATTTAAGCTTCCTTGGATTTCTTCAAAATGTTCTCTATCACTTGGATAAGAGTGTTGGATTAGCGGTGCTAATTCTTTTCCTGGTTGTCTTCTTTCAGACTGATTATGTTTGAAAAAAAACATTGAAGATGCTTTTTGAAGAGGATGTTAGCATTCCTACCTCGGACTCACTAAAGGTATCCAGTAATGGGTTACCTAAACTTTCTAAAGTCGAATTTAGATCATTTTCTTCTCTATCGAGCCTCACATCTGGCTTTTTATGTGGTGTTGAACGGTATTTTAAATCTCGTTCAGCTCCACATGCAGCAGCAGTGTTTGCTCTGGGAATGATAAGTCTCTTGTGCCCTGAAGGAGGTTTGGTCTTGCTTTTGATATGTGAAGAGTCTGCTGTGGAATCCCGTGGCTCTTCTGGAGAGGCTGTCTCTGTTCTCAGCAGAAGACGCATCTGGTTTTCTTTTCCTAGCTCTATCACTTTGTTTATGCCAGATTCTAAAAGAGCAGCCATAGGAAATGCTTGTATTATCTGGCTTATAACAGAATGGGGCCATGGCAATTCTTTTTCATCGTCTTTCCCCTCAGAGTTAACTAGAATCTGTGCAGACAAACTTCTCCCCTTCGGCTTCATCTGGGTCTTGCTCAGCTCTTTGACTTCTGCCTCCAACTGAGAGAAGACTGGTGTGGTGAATATTTCCTTTATAACACAGTCGTGTATATCACGGTGTAAACCTGATTTGGAGCTAGGTATTTCACATATTAAATGTTTCTTTTTGAAACTACTCTTTGTTTTCATTGGAAAATTGATTTCATTAGTTTTTAAGTGTTTTTTGGAGCCACATCCTTCCACCTCTGGAGATTTTTTTTTTTGGTTTACCTTCTGACAGTAAACCTGCAGAAATATTTTCGGTTGCATCACATAAAAGAGCCTTCGAATTTAAAATGTCTTTTTCTGAAAGGCAGATATTTAAATCTTGCCTGCTTTTGAATATTTCATCTTCCAAGCTATGTGATGGCTTCTTGTGAATGCTTAGAAATAGAGGAACTACATTTTTTTTTCATTTCAGTGTTACAAATTTCTGATTTGGAAAATAACTGAAGCATCTTGCAGATTTTTACTTAAAATTGAGTTGAGTACCATTGGTTGTTTTAAATTTTCCACATGGGAGATAAGACTTAATAATACAGAGAGATGATACATTTTTATATTTTTACTCTCTGATGATTTTTAAAAATTAATTTTATTGGTACATTTTAGGTATACAATACAGTTACATTACTCATTGGGATCTTGTACCTGTACATGATGGATCTTGGTTCTTATTTTTTCCCCCTTCTCCTGCCCTTCCTTCAACCCCTCCACCCCTCCCTATTTACAGAGACTGTGTTTCCATTTTTCCCTTTTCTCATATTTTTTCTTTTCCCTTCTTTCCTTTCCCCTTCCTCTCCCACTCCCTCTATTCCTTTAGACCTTTTCTTCCTATTTCACATTATCTATTATACCATTTGAACCTTATTTACACTTTTAGTTTTTCACACTAGAGAAACTATTCGGTATTTACACATGTGTGTCCTATTTATTTCACTTAAGAGTATCACCTCAATGTCTCTAGTTTCTCATTCTTTATGGCTGAGTAGTACTCCATTTTATAAAAAAACCACATCTTTATTCAGTCTCCAGTTGATGGGCAGTTGGGCTGTTTCCAAGTTTTAGCTATTACAAACTGTGCCACTACAAACATGGGTGGGCATCTCTCGCTGTGGTATGATGCTTTTAATTCTTTTGGGAAGATACCCAGCAGGGGAATAGCTGGGTCAAGTGAGACCTCTAATTCTAGTTGTTCGAGGTATCTCCATACTGATTTCCACAGTGGTTGCACGAGTCTGCACTGCCACCAACAATGGAAAAGGATTCCTTTCTCCCCAAACCCCACCAGCATTTGCTATTGGTTGATTTCTTGATAGCAGCCATTCTTTCTGGGGTGAGGTGGAATTTCAGTTTTGTTTTCATCTGCATCTCTCGAATGACCAGTGATGTTGAACATTTTTTCATGTTTATTTGCTGCTTTTACTTCTTTGTCTGAGAAATGTCTGTTCATTTCAGATGCTCATTTTTGAATTGGGTCTTTGAATTTTGGGGGTGTGATTTTTTTAAGTTCTTTATCTATTTTAGATAGTAGACCTTTGTCTGAGGAACAGCTGGTAAAAGTTTTTCTCCATATGGTAGGTTGTTGCTTAGCTCTGTTGGTGGTTTCTCTTGCCGTGCAGAAGCTTCTGATGATTCTTTTTTTTTTTTTTTGTGCCAGGGATCAAACTCAGGACTTGCGCTTGCGAGGCAGGTGGTGGAACCACTGAGCTAAATCCTCGACCCTGTGATGATTCTTTTTTGAAGCTTGGTAAGGATGCATTTGGCTATCTTTCCTTTAATTTAGTATTTCCATCACTGGTGACTTGAGTGAGTGGTGCATATGGCAATCTTGGTGAAACGTACAGGGATACAAAAGTACTTAGAAATGTGGTGAACCAATGCTCAAATATGAGAAGACAACCTGAAGGAATAGGGCTCTGTGTTAGTTACTTTCCTCCCATTGCTGAGACAAAATACCCAGCACCCAAAGTTAGAGAGGAAGGGTTTATTTGGCTTACAGTCCACAGAATTTCAGTCCGTAATCGGCTGGCTCTGAGGCTGAGATGGCAAACAAGCATCACAGAGGAGAAACAACATGGCATGCACAAGGCAGCAAGGGTAACAAGAGAGAGTTTAACAGCATCTTTCTGCCCCTTTTACCTTATTCAGACTACCAGGATTAGGGCAGTGCCAAATTAATCACTCACATGTAGTGGTTTAGTAATCACATGGCCTTAACCCCAGCATCACACATTCCAGATTCAACTACCACTGAAAAAGAAAGTCCTACCTCATCAGCATGAGGCTTTGGGGGGACATCTAAACACAAATCATAACAGGCACCATATTAAATCCAGTATCTGAGGTATTTAAAGAGGTAAGCTGGGCTGCCCCTTGATTCTGGCACTGCTTACACCTCAGGTACTGTCTCGAAGGGGTTGTCATGGAGGGAAGGGAGCAGAGATCAACAAGACTCCTTTTGAAATTAGTGGAAGACGGTATTTGACCAGCCACAATCTGCCCCCACCAAAACTGAAGTTACCTGATCATAAGACAGAGGCAAAATACCTCCAGCTAGCAATGCACACAGGAGCACAACCAAAAGCAGTCAGAGAACTGCTTGCAGAGGGAGAAGGCAGGCTCATCGGTCCATCCAGATCCACCCTCACAAGGCACAGCCCCTCCACTTGGGAGCATAGAGGCAACAGCACACTCACCAAATTTGACTGCAGTATAAACAGGACTGAGAAAATTCTACT